GGTATATATTATTCATAAACTGAAGATTGTGTTATGCTAATGCGGAGAGGCAGTCGAGGTTGAGATTTATCTTCAGAGAAAATTGATTCGCAAATTTTAATTAAAACTTTTGAATATTATGATTGAAGGTGAGCATAGTGGTTGTCTGCCTTATTCATAAACTTTAAAAGACTATTAAAAATCACTGTATAAAGCATTTTAGTCAAGGATACCTTCAATTGTAGTATTCAAAGTTTAAAAGATAATAACGTGTTGTATATAATACGTATGTACTTAACTATTTTACCAATTATATTCAAAAGCAAAGGATAACTTAAGAAATGCTTTAAAAATTCATTATATATGTTAGGGCCGAAGACCGAAAACGCTCAGTGGCCGGATAAAACGGCCACATTGCGTTCTGGGTGCCTTCAAACGCACAGAACGCGTTTTGGCTGTTTTTAAACGCTCGCAACGCGTTCTGGTAACTGTAGGAGAAGTTGAGCATGCTCAAAATGCGCCCAAAAATCAGGAGTCTCGACAATATAACTGTTCAGTGTAACTTTCTTCTTAGAACTGAAAAACAATTATATGAAATTTAATATTGTTGAAATGATTCGACGAGAAAAACCGAACCCATCTTTGGTATCCAATTATAGTTGTCAATAACTGAAATGTTTCCTAAAAACTGAAAAATGGATTGAAATTCATTTGTTTTATAAGTACAATATAAATCTCACTGTACGCAGATAGAAAGCGGCAAATAATACAAGTCGAACATTAAGAACGCGTTGTGGGCGTTCAGCAATTGACAAAATGCGTTCCGGATGTTTAGCAGTTACCAGAACGCGTTGCTAGCGTTAAAAAACAGCCAAAACGCGTTCTGTACGTTCGAAGAACGCGATGTGGCCGTTTTTTCCGGTCACTGAGCGTTTTCGGTCTTCGGGCCTAACATATATAGTAGGAGGTTTAAGGTCTGCTCTAGACTTTAGAGTCTAAATGTAATTTAAAAGGAAATACTCGTTTTACTGTTTGAGTTTAATGTATCTATTTAAATCTTTAATTTTTTTGGTAATACTGTGATTTCATTCGTTTTGCAGTTCAAAGCATTCTGTTTATACTTAAAACATGACTGTATTGTTTTGATTAATATTTTGTATAATAGAACAATCATACATGTATTTATTTATTTTTCTTTAATGTTATGAAATAATCGAAAATTCGTGCAACACTCAAGTTCAAGCTGATATGTAAAAATATATTAATAATATATACTTAAAAATATATTTAAACACAAATAATACTCCAAAAAATGATCCATTTTAACATTCAATTAATTTCATGTCATTTACTAATATTGATGAAAAGTTATACCTTTTAAAGCGTACCACTCGAGCTTACGTACGGGCCGATGCGCCGCGAATTGTGAAAAGCGCATTTTTCCATGTAAATTATTAACTAAAACGTGTAGTACGCACTTTCTAGCCACACATTCTGGTATGCTAATCGTCCACACACTTTTCTGAGCTAATTTCAAAAAGAATCATCGATTAGAGAACTTTTTCGAAGAAAAAATCTAATTTAACTCCCTTTTGTATTCTCCTACTACGGACTTTCTGTTTTAAATCCTTATAGATGATGCATGGTCAAGAAACAAAGTATTTCACATGTTGTGTTCCAGTTCATGAAGGCCGTACTTGTATAGGTACCATTATTAGTGGTCTACAAAGACCTATGATATGTTCACTGTTACACGGTTATAAGAACGTGAAATTTATCTACCTATATATACACACACATGTGTACGTGCATTTGGTGGAAAGCCGTTAACGCTTCCTAATTATCACATTACACGTATGGAGATTACAATGTTGCTCGATCCTCATACATTGTTGTGCTGATGCATACATAAGCACCCTTATGTTCATGTCTGATCAAACACTTTCTGAAAACGACGCAATTAATTTATCACGGGATCGATAAAAGTACAACTGCAGTTGAAATAAATAAATTATTAAATTGTAAAAGGCAGTTGTTGGCACGGAATGAATAGCAAAAAGAATTGGTAATCATGTAGGTCATATCTATACATTAGAAGTTGATGTTAACTGACGTTGAGTTTCTCTATTCGCTTAGATGCCAGAGAGCGAACAACTTTAACCACTTTAAAGTCATAATGGTCTACACTGAACTAAACTTATCTAAATAATTTTATGTAATCTGGTTTATAAACATTTTACTGTTCGCAAATGTTTAGGATGTGGGATGGTCCAGTTTTAGGGAAATGTGAAAATTAGCTCAGGATAGAAATGAGTGGAGATGCTTGACTAACCAGTCTTAGGACTGACGATCCTATGATAATAATGATGGTGATGATAATGATTAACATTTCACAATTAAAAACTAACATTATTGGAAAATCTATGTCTACTAAATTTATTTTGATTATTACTATCTTCCTTAGAAATGAACATTAAGTTCGTAGTTAATAATCTGTAGAAACTGTCACATGCGGATTACGATTTTAAATTTTTTGGTTCTTATCAGCAAGTATGGTTGCCACCCGTACTTTATTATAAAGTATTGTACTCTATTTTGACTGTGCGTACGTTATACTTTACGAGACACATAAAGTACGCAAAAATACTTTATTTAAGACCTTAAGTAAACGTCGTAATTTTGTAAGCGATTATTCGAAATTCAGAGTACTTTTACATCAATAATATTGCACAGAAAAATGGCAAGCCAAATTTACGGAACAACCTGATTTCCCAAATCTGTTCAAAGTAGTGTCACTTTTGCTGTCCGTTCCGGCCACTTCAGCATTTACAGAAAGAGTATTCTCTGTTATGAA